AAAAAAAAAAAAAAAAAAAACGATATGCAAAGAAAACAAAACAAAACTGAAACGATACCTGAAAAAGAATGGTGAGGCGAGCTAGAGGAGCAGTACAGGTCTTGCTGAAAGCTCCAGCTATGCCGCCGGCGAGGAGCTGCGGGACCGTTCCAATCTGCGATATCTGCGGCTGCTGCTGCTGAGGCGGCGGCGGCGGCCGCGAGCGGTGGTGGTGGAGCAACTTCCTCGTCGCGGAGCCTCCGTCCACCTCAACTCCAGCTTCCATCGAGCCCAACACGAAACGAAAATCGAAATCAAAATTATCCCTCAAGATTCCTCGAATAGCAACTGTTGATGCCCCAAATTCACCATGTTGCGTGTGGTGTGAATAAACCCTATGGAGAAGGAACAAAAACCCTAGTTCCGAGAAGAAGGTGGTGTTTGATTTTGAGGTACTTTACTGTATTATTTTCTTTTCTTCTGGCGTGGATTGAACTCAAAGTGAGAACTGAGATGTGATTCACGTTTTTTCTCACCATATGTGGTAAAAACAGTGGATGAAGTTGGGCCTGGTTTGGGCCTGAACGCTTCTCGAGGTACGAGGTAGCCCATTTTTGAATCCAAGAGTAAAGTCAATTTGTGTTCAAAGCCCAGTAATAAGTGTGAGAAACACGGATACAAATTCTACAGCCCATTGGTTTCCGGAATCCAAAAACATATTGAGAAAATTGCACATGACTTGGTGTCGGGTATTAATTTATGAATTGGAATTAAGAGTTGGTTTAGTATATAATTTTTTTATTTAAAATAGGATTATATCTCAACTCGTTGATGAAATTCTTGGTCCAAGGTCTAAGGTTAAGTGGAGATTGAGGAGGCTCAGATATGTAGATCGTAGTCAACTAAAAAGTCGATGTGAGAGTTCAATGCGTTGAAGTCTGGTAGGTAGATGGGAAGCTTTAATCATATGCTTCTCAAGTTCTGTGTTGAATATTCGCAAAAGTCTTTCAAGAATTATCGGTCTAATTCTATCTCTATTATTACTGTTACTCACAACCACTAACTAAACAACATTAATTAGTATAGACATCAAATGGTCTAGCTACCTCTGAAAACAAAATCGGAGCTCTTTTTTTGCAAATGTTCTCATCGACTTTTTTTCTTAGTACGCAATTAAATTAATTCATTGTCACCACATGTCATATTGGGATAGCATTGATGTAGCATCCATATTAAAAAAACGGCGGTCAATTAGGGAGCTCGCGAACGTAGTTTTAGGTACTGGTCGACCTGAAGAAATGAGCTAGGATGCGACCTCCAAGAGTTTGCATATGTGGAGTGACCTCGAGGTGTCGAGGTCGCAAGTCTGGAGGTCAGGAGTCGACCTCACTCAGGATACAACAAGAAGGTCGAGAGTTGTGGTTACAACCTAATGACCTAGGAGTTGTACGGAAAAGTGAAAAAAAATTATAGTAAGAAGGAAAGTATAACTTGGTAAAGAGACTTGTCTGGATAAGAGACGCGGCAAGTTAGGGTCCTAACAAAAAACTCTATTGGGCATCAAAATATTCACCAGGTAACCAAGTTCTATGTTAATATCTATTGTGTATTTACACATAAAATGAATACTTTTTCAGTTATTCTATTCAGCGAACTGTGACTTGAGCGTCAAAGTGCCTAGGCCAAAAGGGAGGACATGATTCCACCCTATACAAAGGTAACCATTTTCTACGATAATATCTCTCATATTTAAATACACCTAAATTACATAATTTATTAGTTATTCTATTGAGCAAATTCTGACTTGAGAGTCGGAGTGTCGAGGCCAGGACCCCCTCCCAGCACATTGCAGGTCACCGGAGCTCAGAGCATAAAGATGTCTGGAAACCAATCGAGATGAACCCGGTTCGTAATAAATTGACATATCAAGCGTCAAGTGATTTTCATATCATCAAGACCCTCGACTTCTAGACATTTATACCGTGTAGTAATTTCAGATGTTATTTTTATGTATGAATGATATGTTTCGAGTCTTTCGACCTTCAGTATATGCAAGTCTCGTAACCGATAACTATACTTCTTCAGTAGCCTTTCTTTTCAAAAACAAAATAAATTGTGGCATTTCATAATACGAGTATATATTTTCGTTCTGAAATTATATTGATGGATTTGTATATTTCGTTATGCGGTCACATAATATCATTTGTATTATACTCTATATTCAATGCCTCAATTATAATTTGAAATTGAATAGCAGTAATCTCTCTTCTCCCATGAATCTAAAATGGAAGAATAAGGTTGATTTCATGCTACCCATTGTG